GAGAAATATGGCTTAACTTCAAACAAACTTTATAAATCAGTGTTATTGGAATAATGCAAATAAAAGATAAAGGTAAAATTAAGATTAAGTTAAAAGTAATCCGTGTAACGTAATATAATAAAATCGGATTTAACGTAACAGAATGTTTAACATGTCGATATGGGGAGAATAACAACATTATATAATATAAGGTAAATAATAATTACGCTTTGTATATATTTGAAGAATGGAGTGGAATTGGAGATTGTTGTAATATTATTAAAAATTATGTATAAATTTTTTTGTAAAAATTCGCAAATCGTATATAAATCGTAAATATTAAATAGAGGCTTACAATTTAGGTCGACTCTGGTGAGTAGTACACAGAACATAGCTGTGGTCGGACTATTAATACAATACATTAACACTTAGCTGACACACGTCAAAATAATAACGTACGTGCTATAGGGGATATTTTGGACCCCAGCGAGAAAAAATGTGTATAATTGTTATATTTATCAATATTGGGTCAAGCCTCGACTAATACTAGGTGACGGCACAGAACCAAATTTGGCGCGCAACTATGAAAAATTTGCGTTCAAAAACAATCTGGAGTACTTTTAACCCCGTGTGTCAGCTAAGGGTTAATACACAAATACCAGGTGTAGAAGTATGAAAGCGGAATTTCCCTATAGATGGTGCTAGCCATCAGTTTAGGGACCGTAAGACCGCTTCTGCAGCGCCATCATCTCCTCTAACAGCTGACAAAGATTTTCAACACACAACAACCCAAGTTCCATACACCGATATATTTTTCTATAACCTTAAACATGTCGAGTTTTGTGCTTACGAACTACGATTTGCGAATTTTTACAAAAAAATTCCGGTTTCAAACTTCTACACCTGGTATACATGAGAATTTACGTAATTACTGTGACGGAAACAAATGAAAGCAGTAACAAAAAAAAAAACTTTGAGCCTAGATATCTAATCCGAGAATAAGAATCCGAGAATGCTAAGAACTGCTGAGAACTAGAAAGATTTGTCAAAACTTTTAAAAGAACTGCCGAGTACTTTTAAATGCAGATACTGCCGGATACTGCTAAAGAACTGCGTGATACTGCACGAAGCGGCAAGAGAGTTGGGCTTTTATAGGGAGACTTTTAGGAATGGCAGATGACGATTGCCAATGAAAATAATTTTTGTGGAAGGTAGATGTGGATGTTTGGGAGGTTTCCGAATAGGTTTTTAAGGAGAAGATGATGACAAACTTCCAGACGTAAGAAACAGAAATTGACCACTCCTACAATTAGGGAAAGCGACCTATGGTTTTTAGAAACATATCTTTCTTTGGAAGGAAAAGTTGGTGGAAATTGAACATGTTTCTTAGAATTTTGGCAAATCATGAAAGAGCACGCAAGACATGAGGGTAAGAAGGGATCGCTAAATTTTCACGCCTTTTTGGATGAGAGGGGAGACAAATGTGGTATAATTCAAATGTATTAGTGAAGATGAGTTTATTCAGTATATGACGGGAAATTAGGACATTGGACGGTTTATTTTTCTAGGATCGTGTGATCTTTCCGACTCTATGGAGCAATGATAACTAGTCGTGACATTTTCTTTTATACTATTCGCAGACGGACGTTTTGGGAAACAACAAACGTATCTGGTAGTGCATTATCGAAATTTTATAAGCAAATTTTGGGACTGCGCTTTATAATAGACCAACGTTTTTCCACATCCCTGGTTGGCCTTTTAGGCTATGTTCTTAGTCATATTACAGCTTTTATTACAGGGTATCGCTTGGCTAAATGCGTCTGTTTTCCAATGTAAGAAAACCAAAGTTTGTAAGAAAGAATAGGAAATAAAATTCAATGTCAGTGAAATACGCAGGACGTAACAATTATTTAAGTGAAATTCGAAGAAAATATTGACATATTTGTACGTTACTCAACTAAGTATATGACATTTTGTTCCACTACTATTCGCCATTTTATTCCACTATTTTCGCCTCTCTGAAGCCATTTCATGATTCCATCTTCCTAAAATTTAGCATTTTTCTTTGTAATATACTGGTCCAGATTGTTTTTATAAGCTTCTATGGAATTGAAGTTGTTCATATTAAAGAGAATTTTGTACAGACCAGAATAAGTGGTAATCCGAAAGTTTAAAATCACTCGAATACAGCGAATGAAGTAGGACATCTCAGCCAAGCTGCACCAATTTCTGCCGAATCTGCAAAGAAATGTGAAGTCTAGCGTTTTCCTGATGGAAAACGATACTTTTCTGATTAGCTGGACGCTTTTCATCAATTTCATCAATTGCTGCCTTCAATTGGTCCAACTGGGAACAGTAAATGTTTGAATTCAATATCTAGATGTACGGAAGAAGCTCATAATACAAGATACCTTTGCAATCCCATCACGTTCGTTTTTATAGCGTTTGAATGGAAAATCGCTGTTGGAAATGTGATCCATTAAATAATATTCCGCTAAATTGTAAGGCATACAACTACAATCTGTTTCACAAGAAAGTGTGGGTGATAATCAGAAAAAAATAAAAGACATAGTAAAGTTGTATTTTTTAAACAAAAATAAGAAAATTTTTAGTAATACGCACTTATCTAATATTTAATCCAGTCGATTTCATAATCAATTATTGCTTGGCGCCGTTTTCATTAGGTGAGCAAAAAAGTTCTGAGATTTCATACAACCGTAACAACAATTTAAATTTTATTTATCTTCACGTACTTTTGCGGTTTTAAAGCGTTGAAACTTGACTTTCTAAAATTCCATGCGGTTTGGCGTTTGATGCACATATTCTCAAAAATCAGTAGTGTTGATGGCAATTACAAAAGAGTATATTCGATTTTCCATCCACCTCGCGTTTCATCTGAAGAAAAATGCTGCTGAAGCCACTGAAATGATTTGTGATGCATATGGAGAGGACGCTTCAAGTCATGCTACGTATAAAAGTGGTATCAAAATTTGCGCCAAGGAGATTTCTGTTTTCAAAACAAACCGCGTGCTACACGCCCTCAAAAGATTGAAACGGATGAAATGCAAGCATTGCTGGATATAAATCCTGCGCAAATTGAAAAAGAGCTTGCAGAACAACTTGGCGTAACGCAGCAAGCAATTTCCGTAAGTTTACATACAATGGGAAAGGTTCAGAAGGAAGGCAGATGGGTTTCGCATAAACTGTCCAAAGACAACAAAAATCGACGGTGTGACACTGCACTCACATCTTTTCATAGTTCCGAAAAAAATGTTTTTTCCACAAAATCATTATAGGCGATGAAAAGTGGATTCTCTATGATAAATCTAAGCGTAGAAAATCATTGGTTGACTCTGGTCAATCTTCGACATCGACGCCTTAGCCCAATATCCACGCCAAAATGGTTTTGCATTTAGTGGGATTGGAAAGGTGTGTTATATTACGAGTTGTTACAACATCTAATCACGGCAGACCGCTACCAATAATAATCTACCAATTTTAGCAATATATTAGAAGAAAAGAGGCCATTTACTAGCCAAGGAAGTCGTAAAGTGATACTCCTTTATGTCAATGCTCGATCAGATGTTGCGAAAGGGACTCAGGACTATATCTTTGCGTTAGGCTGGGAACTTCCCTCCACGCGGCGTATATCCCAGACATTGCGTCTTTCGATTACTACCTATTCCGGTCTCTGCAGCATCACTTGGCAGATTCACGTTTTGTGAGATTTGAAGAGATACGAAAGTGCATTGATGACTTTATCGCTTCGAAGCCGGTAAGCTTCTACAGTCAAGGAATTTGCAAGTTATCCAAAAAATGGCAGAATGTTATTGATGCAAACGGGGAATATTTTGGTGATTAATATTTTTTCTGGTTTTTTAATAAAATTGAATTTTGCAAAAAAAGCTTAAAAGAATTTTTTCGCTCGCTTAATATTTTTGTGGTATACGTCTTCCTGGTCAAAGAAAACAATGAATATTGCCTTCTCATTGCTCCAACTCTAGCGCGTTTCCTTGGGTCGAGACTCACTTGTGTATCACTCATAGAGTTATTACCACAAACTTTATGGATCATACCGATTGTTTCGGTACATAGGTATGTAGCCAAATTTTTGTCAAAATTTAATGCAAATGCTCTGCTCGACTCGCTTCGTCGTTATGAAATGCAACGCTTGAAGCTTCTCGACGCTCACACAACTGCATACTTTTGCCGATTAAATAGCTCTCGGGTTGTTCCGCTTGGTGGAGACACTCCTCATGACCTCACCTAATTATTGAATGTCTGTTTTCTACAATAGGATACCCAAGGACAGAGATATACGCAAAAGTCGGATATTTTTTTGGCCTGATATGTTTAAGCTCTTCTACCGCCCGAAGTTGACTAAAACGCCGAGCGTACACAAACACGACCGCTTGCCGTAAAACTTAGTTAAATTAAGATAACTTAAGATAATTATAACTTTAATAAAGATAACTTAGTAAAATTTAGGGTGTTTTGTATAATTAATAAAACAGTTTATTAATTATAATAATAACATAATTTGGTTCTCACATGTATTAATAATAGTGATAAATTCATGAGAAGTGTCACTGTAAAAAATAAAATGTTTAAAAGATGAAACGGTTATCTAAAGTTCAACAATGAGAAATATGGGTTAACATTAAACAATCTTTTATAAATCAGCATTATTGGAATAATGCAAATAAGAGATGTAGGTTAATGTGAGATTAAATAAAAAGTAACCCGTGTAACTTAATGTAATACAATCGGATGTAACGTGACAAGAATATCTAACATTTCGGTATAAGGAAAAAAACATTATATACAGGGTTTGTCCGGAAAGTAATGCGTCGCATTTTTTTGTGACGCGAGTATACGTCCCTGAGCAGTCGGACCGGTTGGAGAGGGTGGGGGAAACCCGTAGCTTTCTAGCGGTATTTCGCTCAATTGCTTTCATGCGCTTGGAGGAATAGGACGGCTTGTTCCGTGAACTTCTGCGTAGTGGTCGCGTCAAAGGTACCATGGAGAAAACGTTAAAGCAACGCTATGCGATACAGTTTTGTGTGAAGCTTAAGAAGACGCCGCTAGAAACATTTGAAATGCTTCAGGAAGCCTTCGGAGATGATTGCCTTTCCAGATCGCAGTCGAACAGATGGCACAAGATGTTTCAAGATGGTCGGGAGGAGGTCGCAGACGAGGCCCGCGCAGGACGCCCGTCAACATCGCGAACGGACGACAATGTGACTCGTGTGGGCCAACTACTGTTTTCAGACCGTCGAATGAGTGTTCGCTTAATGTCTGAATTACTGAACTTGCCAAAAACGGTTGTGCACGAGATTGTATCGGAAGACTTGGTCATGCGGAAGATTTGCGCAAAATTTGTGCCTAGAGTTTTGACAGATCTCTAGAAGCAACATCGGGTGGAAGTGTGTGCAGAACTCCAACACCTCTGCGCAGATGATCCCGATTTCCTAAGCAACGTTATCACATGGGATGAGACGTGGGTCTTTCAATATGATCTGGAGTTAAAGAGGCAGAGTGTGGAATGGCACACGTCGTCGTCGCCGCGCCCGAAGAAGGCTCGCATGAGCAAGTCCCGCGTGAAGTCAATGTTCACTGTTTTTTTTATGCAAAGGGGATAGTGCACCGTGAATTCGTACCCGCTGGCCAGACCGTCAACGCAAAATTTTACGTGGAAGTGCTTCACAGACTGACGAACAGGGTCGCCCGCGTCCGCGCGGAGATCCGCGAAAATTGGAAACTCCCCAACGACAACGCACCAGCGCACACCGCCTTTGTTGTCATGGCATACCTAACCCGGATCGGTGTGGCGACAGTGCCGCAGCCGCCCTACAGCCCCAACTTGGCCCCGGCAGACTTCTTTTTGTTTCCTCGGCTGAAAAGGGCCCTTAAAGGAAAACATCTGGAGTCGGTGGACAATGTGCAAGCTACGTCGACGGCCGCCCTGAACAGCATCACAGTCGACGAGTTCCAGAAAGCGTATGACTCATGGAAATCGCGCTGGCAAAAATGTNATGGGCGTACTTCGAAGAATTTTAAGTTGTTGTACCTGTGCGATTAATAAATAACGTTAAAAAAATGCGACGCATTACTTTCCGGACAAACCCTGTAATATAAGAAAAATAATAATTACGCAGTGCATGTGTGCGTTTAAGAAATGAAGTGAGATTAGAGATTGGATTGAAATTATTAAAAGTCAAGTTTAAATATGAAATAAATCTTACAATTTTGGTGGGTCGATTGTGGTGAGTAGTACGTAAAATATGGGTTCGTTGATCATGGTGTACCGGATTTCTGGGATCCCGGAATATCGAGAGAAATAGTTCACTTGAGAGATCGCGACTTGCACAGCGAGTTACAGAAGAAGAAGTGGAAGTGTGTGTTGTGACAAGAGAGTAAGGTTTTTATAGGGAAGATTTTGGGAGTGGTAGATGACGATCGCCAATGAGGGCAGTTTCCGTGGAGAAAAAAAATATTATGGAAGGTTGGAAAACAGATAGCCTAGAAGACTCGTAACATTATCATGATGTCATAAACGATCACAAGATCCTAATCCCATCGAAAGGCCTGAGTCCGGCCGACCACTCAGACCATGTACTTTACGTGAAGGTGAAAAAGGAGATAGACGCGTTTGGAAACACATGACACATATGATGGCGCGCCGTCGTGATCTTATCCCTTTTAATCGTGTTACAAAAGCGCTTGCCCAAATCCGTCTGTTTCCCAATTATGAAAAAAAGGAATTCGTTGTTCCCGAGGTATTCAGGACGTAACAGTGGCAACTCTGTCCATGTGAAAACACTTGACACATCACCGAATTGTCAGTGCGCCATAATTACGCATATTCCTGTGAGCCCGTCGTACTGCGTGCGCCCCATCCATCGCGCTATAAGCCACGTCTGTAAACAAACTCGTATCGATCCGCGCAATCCGCGATTGACCAACGCAATCCCGCCGTGCACTGCACACCCTTCGAACGTTATGCATCATTACACAAAGACCGCCTCGAGATTCTCGTCCAAGCGAATCATCAAGACGTGTAAATATATATCTTTGTAACTACTGGTGTCTTGAACTTCAAACAAACGCTATTGTCGACTAACATCACATGCATCCGCCTACAAATCAGACTATGTTTCATTAACGATCCCAGGACCCGACGAGCGAAATCCGCGGCTAGTAACGTATCGACCGATGTCGGAGGCCGTTACAATCTCGTGGCTATTGTTTTAGCCGTTGTTTTAGCCTTGTGAGTAATGTACCGGAATAAATCTATATACGTTACAAAATTCATGACATATATATCATTTTGTGTGTATATATTTATATGAAATATGATGTCATATGTGCGTAATATCATTTAGTAAATCGATATATTATACACAACCATATAATCACATTAATGATATAATCATTCTATTCAACACCGCGACAAAGAAGCAGCTTATAAAAAATATAATATATGCATTATTCTGAGGCAGAACAACAAGAAAAAAATCTGTTCTTTCTTATTTGATTCATATCAAAAATATTTTTTTCCCAATGTTTTCTATTTTATCTATGCAACTGCAGCCTTTACATATACATCTACTCCCTCTGAGAGAGATAATCAATATTATTAAAAATAAACAGGTTCTTTGTTTGCATATTGATAGAAACAAACTATCTATCTTTCGATAATCTTTTAAGTACAGTCTGTTCCATAAGAGCGTACGCTCTGTTACTCCTTAAAAAAATTTGTTTTAAACATGATTTGGATCTATTAATAAATACAATAAACTAAAATGCATTTATTTAGTAAGTTATCCTATTTCCTTTGTTATCGAGTATGGCCTGCCAGCATCGGAGCATGTTTTCCACGACATTTTCAGGCATTCTTTTAGGAAGAAATCTCTACATTTCCCGTATATAAGGAACGAGCTGCTTTAAAAAACATTTTTGCCCTGAGTTTGACTTTAATAACTGCCCATACGTATGGGATTGGCATCAGTTGACTGGAAGGCAAATTTATTTTAGTGATACCATTTTCACGTTTCCACATGGTACACGCACGACTTCGGTGTTTTAGGTCGTTGTCCTCTTGAAGCACCTATTATATAAGATAAGCCACCTTAGAGCAAACTTTAATAAATACTTATGATAAATAAGGTTCAATTTTTGTATATTCAGATTGTCTGCAAAGAGATATAAATTACCAAATCCCTGTTTACAGAAGCATCCCCACATGTGTACTTTCAATGAGTGTTTTACTGTACGCTGAACAACAGGATCATGACGAGTCGACCATACATTACTTCTAGAAATCTAGGCCCAAAAAGATGATTCATTGATGAAGATAACATTAGCAAAATCACAGTCGATATTAGCCTTTGCCCGCTCGAGACGTTTTTCGACGTGTTTTTTGTTCAGAAAAGATTTTAACTTTGTGATCCACCCGCCGTATTCGGAATCAAGCAATCGTCATATAATAGTATTAAGGCTCACTTCTACATCTTTTGTTAATGAAAGATTGTTCGCTCGCCGTGACAAACACCCAGGATTCTTCTCAAATACCTTGATGATAGTTTTGTTGTCCTTTTTCGTTGTTGAACGCCGGATGCCATGTTCTGGCAGGTCGTCAACACATTTTGTTTCGTTCTAACGTATCAGCTACTTCGTAACAAACCCCTCCGACTTTTCAGATAGTGGCCGGTAGCCGCATAAAATATTTTCCGCATAAAATATTTTCGGTCCTTTCGGATGTGTGCAAAAGTACACTGCTTTAAAACGACTTGCATACACAGCACTTATTGTGTTTATTTTGCTCCGTTACAGACAAAACAAGTCACACTATTAATATAATCTCAAAGCGTTCTTTCGAACTGTTCAGAAAATCGGAAAAACCGAATTTAATATCTGCGCACTCTATTAATAAAATGCGGAACCATACTCTTATGGAACAGACTTTAATTTATATATTAGTGCGAGTTTCATTGAACACTAATTACATAGGCCCACAAAAAAAAATTTTTCTGCACGAGACAAGTGGCTAGGCTATTCTTATGTATTTTGAGCCGCTGTATTCGAATCTAACGTCAGAATTTCTCCTACACGTCCTAATTTCTCTCTAAATACAGATAATAAGGGGAAATCGAGGGATATTCGGGACGTTATTTTTATAATCATTGTCCAGCTCTACAAAAAAGATTTAAAATTTTTTTCCGTGACCAGACAATGTCTATATGATATTTCTGAGGTCGCTGAATCCGAATCCAAAGTCCGTTTAACCCCATCACGTTAGGGTTTCTCATAACCTTAAAAAATAGGCCCAAAAAACTATTAATTTTTTACAAATTTAATCCCTTGATTCTTCAACACAAACCACAACCAGGCTAACCTACCTAACTCTAGGAACGAGTTTAGAATTTCATTTTTCTCGGAATAATTGAATCACACCACAAGCTGTCTACCCCACCTACCCCCAATCCTCCTAACCTCTAGAAATCACTACTGCTAAACTTCAAGCAGGTTAACCCACCTAACTCTAGAAACGAGTTTAGTTTCTTAATTTGTTTTTTAAAATAATGAAATTCCACACTACAAGTAGGCTACCACACCTATCCACCCACCCCTTAACCCACCTAATCCCTAGAAACCACCCCTACCAAACTACAAGGTAGCTAATCCACCTGACCCTGGAAACAGCAAGTTTAGTCGTTTATTTTTCTTGAAACAACTGAATCCCACACCACAAGCGGGTTGATCCACCCGCGCCAACCAGATATTCAGCAGCATTTTGAAGCTGGTGTATTTGGATCTTAGGAAGGCAAACTTCTGAAAAAGCGCTCAATTCATTTTCTTTTTTTAAGTAGGTGCATACAATGGTTAAAATTTCGAAACAGTTCGAACAGATCTACATACAGTCTGACGATGGAGCAAATTTTAAAGTATAATACGAAATTTATTTTGCCAACGATATATTAAAGGTACATTTTTTTTTATTCAATTACATGCATGATCATTGATCTGCTCAACGAAAGAGTACTCGGGGCAGGGATCGACGGCTGTAGGGACAACGTACTTCTAAATGCCTTCTTTATTACACGACTCAGGATCTACTAACAGTTTTATAAAATTACGTTCATTGAAAGATGATACCCTCTTGATCAAGGAAAAATTAATATTGACTGACACCACTGGACACAATATCGATACATTTGGAAAATTCTGCGCAACAATAAAACTTGGAAGAAAAAGTTTAAAACAAGAAATTTTTATAATCGTTAAATATGACTTTCCTATGGTGTATTAGGGAATATACGGAATCGATTTCCTACAAACTAGCGATGCAAAATGCAACCATACCAATCATAAACTGAAAATTACAGGAAAAAATCTTACACTGGTA